AGCACACACAGCAGGACATATAGAGCACACACAGCAGGACTTATAGAGCACACACAGCAGGAAATATGGAACACTGTTTTGAAATAAACATCCAAGTGCTACACTGCTACACTATCACTACCTGCATTTCCAATCTCTCCCATCCCCAGGTGAGACCAGGGAAGAGAGGACATTCAGGAATTGGATTAATTCTCTTGGCGTGAATCCACGGGTCAACCACCTTTATGGGTGAGCAAGTGCAGCAACAATGATTTTTTTTGTTTGATTTTGTGTGATACAGAAAATGTAAAGCTGTGCAGATTGGCTTGAATTTCTTTCTAGGTCATGCGCTGTGTCTTATTGTGATTGATGATCTGAGTGGCTGGTATAACGCTTTTCCAGGGATCTGGCAGATGCACTGGTGATCTTCCAGCTCTACGAGAAGATTAAAGTTCCAGTGGACTGGAGAAGGGTGAACAATCCCCCTTACCCCAAACTTGGTGGAAACATGAAGAAGGTAAGACAAACACTCCTAAATATCAGCAATCTGTAGCACTGGCATCACACATTTATCGATGCTAAACGGTAAAAAGCTGTTCATCAAAAATGAAAGGTATTCATCGCTGCAACAATTCAGGTTCTTCGCATTCATCTGGGATCATCTCCCTTTCACCCCCTCGTCCCTGTGCCTGGAGCAACGCACAGGGGAGACAGCCTGGCCATGTGGCATCACAATTTCACTTGGAGAGGCTTGTCATACCCTTGCATAGCACCAACATTCATCGTTTTTAGCATTTTTGTTTCTCTGTGGTCCATATCTGCGACTGCATGATTTCATAAAGTCTAAAAGTGTTTTAAAGTTAAGAAAACATGAGATAAATTCAACATGAGAGGAGATGCCGGACATGTAGCATATGCACAACAGAGTCCTGGCATTCATTGCTGAAGAATTTGAATTTGAGTGGGTGCCTTTTTCTTCCTGAAACTTTCCAGTTTTAATTTCTAACTATGTGCCCTGCTCTCCGCTGAACTTGAATCTTTTTTGGAGCTGCCTTTTTACGGATCTCTTCAGAGTCTTATTTGTTGTGTTTTACTCCACCATACTCAGTGGAATCCATTAACATTGGCCACTAACAACAACACCCCCATCAAAGCAGCCTCACAGACAGATCTTCTTGTCTCGACTAATGGCAGCTCTCTTCTTTTTTCTTAATGCAAGCTGGAAAACTGCAATTATGCAATAGAGCTGGGGAAGAACCAGGCCAAGTTTTCGCTGGTGGGGATTGCTGGACAAGACCTGAATGCAGGAAACCGCACGTTAACTCTGGCTTTACTGTGGCAGCTGATGAGGAGGTAACTGAACTTCACATCAAGCAATGCGTGAAGCTTGTTGTTCTATGTCCTCTGTATTTCTTTCACCAGTCTCAGGACAATTCTAGTCCTGACACGCTTTTAGCATATAAGCAGATATAGCGGTGCTAGCTCAAAATCGTAAGTGTAACCTCACCCAAAAAGACAGAACAGAATTTTACTGTATTTGTATTTCTTTTACAAATGGTAAAAAAGCACAAGTAGTTAACACTAGCTACATTTGAATGTAATCTAAACATTTAGTACAGGGATCTGCTACATTAATGATCAATGTTATGTATAATATGTAGTGTAAAGGAAAGAAAAAATGTTCTTAGTCATTTTTGTGTGTTTTCCTTCTGTGTTAATTAAGGAACCACTCTTACATGTAATTCATTGATTTGATCTGGTCCTTAGGTACACCCTGAACATTCTGGAGGATATTGGCGATGGCCAGAAGGTTAATGATGACATCATTGTGCACTGGGTCAATGAGACGCTGGCACAGGCTGGAAAAGGCACCTCCATCTCAGGCTTCAAGGTAGAGAACTTCACAGCTCCAGAGCCTGGTCTCCATTGCGCACTTACAGAGGCAATATTGCAGTAGCTTCCACACCTCTGATTTCGCCTTCTCTGAGCCTTATTCATTTTAGTGTGTTACTGGTTGCATGATGAAGTTTGATCCAGTCTTTGGTTATTTGCTATGAGCATTTCTAATTTTTACAAGAAAAAGAGTTTCTAAAATGCAATAAAGCAGACTGCCTTCATATGTGCAGGGGGAAGACAAAAGAGACTTAATTAAGAAGACCTTTAGGTAGGTTAGGCTCTACAGGCCCAAAATAGCCTTAATATTTAGGCAGGATACACCTCGTCTTACAAACAGTGCCAATCGGAAGCTCAGCTCCTGTTGTAACACAGTGTCACCATAGTGACTCAGTGGTTTGTGAATTGTGCTCCAAAGGAAACAGCGCCACCTTCTGTTCTGAAGATGTTCCTGAAGATGGATGGATTGAGCTGTAGATGACATCCTCTACGTTAGCCTCCTTAATATTTAACAAAAGCCAGTTCATAGTAACAATCAAGAAACAATCTAAGCAGTACCAAACAATACACACAAGTAAGACAAAATCAAGGTGATAAAATAACTTTTAATAATGGAAATGCATGCCATATCTCAGTGCAGCATGGTGTATTTCAAAATGAAGAAGCACAAAATGGTATTTTGTTCAACAATGACAATTTTGCTGTCATTTTGCTGTCTTGGATAAACAGTGCCAAGAAACATTCCAAGCATTTTTGGCTATATTCTTTCCTGTGATCCAGAAAACGAACTCAAAATTCAAATGAGTAACCCCCTACGGGATAATTTTATTTTAAGCATATTCTTGGAAAATGAACCAGGGTGATTGTGGAGCTTGAAACAGAGGAACAAATTGTACCAGTCTGCAAAGTGCTCTGAAGATTGTCTGGTTCTAGTGTGCACACACATGGCTACAGCATTAGGCAAAGTTTGTCTTTGTCGCAGTGGAGCACAACAATAACAGATTAAGCATAGGGTTTTCTAAATCTTTCAATTGACCGTTTGTTTCTTCCTCCAGGATGGACAGATAACCACCAGCAAGCCAGTGCTGGACCTGATTGATGCCATCCAGCCCGGCTCCATCAGATATGACATCCTGAAGTTTGAAGACCTGTCCGATGAGGAGAAACTCAACAACGCCAAGTACGTGGACTTTCGGGGGTCATGTCTTCTTATCCCAGGGGTCACCAGGAAAAATCTTTTTGCTGACACGTCAAGCAGCACATTTGTGACATTTGTGAAATGCAGTGAGTTATGAGAAGACTGATGATTTCCATGTTTGTATTTGTAATCCAAATCATGTGCCCATTTTTAGTATCTTAATCGTATCAACACCTTGTTGACAGTAAACATTCATCCTTCTCATGAACGGATTAATTATTGTTTAAATAATGACTTCAAGCATAGTACAAAATGCTTGTGCAGAGATGTCAGCTTGTGTTGTAAAAAGTAGTGTGAAGTTTTAACAGTAATGGTAGTCAGGCCAGGTGGAGGGAGGAAGGAGACGGTGAATGAGAATTACAATATTCCAAAGCACTCTTTGACCATTTCTCTGTCTTCCAGGGACAGTTATCTGGTTTCATCAGTACACTAACAACTAGACAAGAGCGAATGTCTTGGAACCCAGTTCAAACTTTTATTAGGAAGAGTGACAGAAAATAAAATCCATTGGGTGGCTCATCTCCCAAAAAAAAATATGACTGGTTGATGATGTAGCTGATTTCTTCCTTTGTTTTTGTTTTTTTCGATTTGCTGTGGACCTCGGAGAGTTTCAGATTTGTCTTCTCCCGTGGTTTTCCGTAGATACGCCATCTCCATGGCCAGGAAGATCGGAGCCCGGGTGTACGCCCTGCCGGAGGACCTGGTGGAGGTGAAGCCCAAGATGGTGATGACAGTCTTCGCTTGCCTCATGGCCCGGGGGATGAAGAGAGTGTGAGAGCAGGGACCCCTCCCTCCCACGCTGAGACAGGAACAGACGATGTGCCGCCTGCACACTCCCAACTCGCACCGCGCGCTGTGGAACTATGGACACGCACACGCACACACATGACCAGCCTTACACTCATCTCTCCAAGCCTGAAGCACTGAGTTATTAGGAGCAAATACTGCAGCGTGACATTTCACGTCCAGAATGATAATGGTGTTTTCACTCTTCCTCTTTGAAGCATTTTTAACATCAACATTACATAATCTGAGATTTTTTAAATAATAATCCAGTGCTTTGTGGCTGAAAAAAAAACCCCAACTATATACACTTTTTCTCACTTGACAGTTTTTGAAGTCTATACAAATCAATTAATTCTCATCTTTGTCGTGCTCACTATCATGTGATTATCTTGTGGTACAGCCAAGATAGTAATAAGGTTTTTGAAAAAAAGCAAAAAATGATATTTGCTTAACCACGTGCATTGCGCACAAGAATCTTTCTTTGAAAGCTTCCTAACATCAGCAGTATAAATGATCATTTGAGGGAATTAACTGAAAAAGTTCAGTGACACGGAATGAAAATACAGATTGTTTACAATATTAGAAGGAGAAATTGTGAAGGTCTTTTGAATATTACCTGGCAGCATTTCTGTTGGTGTTAAAAGTGACCTGTATCACCAGCTTTTAATAAAAATATTTAATGTACTGTGCAGGATGTGTCTTTTTTATAAGTATAGGATATAGTAGCATTACAGAATAGATGTCACATTGTCTGTCAAAGCGTTCAGATCAGAAGAAACATATTGACCGAACATGTGAGAGGAAAATATAGTAAAGGGCTCTTGATACTTCAAGCCTCTTGTGTCCCTGGGTATCCTAGTGGGATACTGTTGCTCATCGCGTATGACTTGGCCGTGTGTTTCCAGATCCCTCGCAGTCACAAACAGACTAGCATCTGTCCATCCTGTTGTTGTTTTTTGCTCAGCTGGCTATGTTCTTTGTTTCATCTCCTGGACACGTGGTTATGAAAGTTCCCAGTTAGGTTTATGTCACAATGAGGTCTGGTTTCCATTAAAAGCACTATGAGCTATAAAGCCGCTTCTTCTCAAAAACCTCGTTTGATGCCCGTGTGATGAAACAACAGCACACGAATCCTATATTCCAGGACTAAAAAATATTCAGGATCCACTGCCGTCATTCTAAAGTATATGACTAAATTTTAACCACAAGACAAACAACTCTTCTCCTGAATCAATATGATTCTTTCAAGTGGGTAACTCATTACTTTTGAATCTGTTGTTGAGGTTGAGACCACTACTGAAAATGAAGCATTTTGTGGTGGCTCCTCTGTTGGCATTTTTTCTTATCGAGAATGGATTTTTCACATCGACAAGGTACTGTAAGTCGTCTTGATTTTATAACTGCTGATTGAGAAAGGAAGGTTATCCTGGAAATCTTCCGGAAGATATAAACTATCCTGAATGAAGGTCCTAAAATGTAGATATGCTTTGTAATACACAACTGGACCTTACCAGATGGTTTGTGATGTAAAGCTAGAGAATGACAATGATTTTAACTCTGTAAAAAGCTGATAACGGTAGAGGCTATTGTCTGTTATATAGCTGTAACAAATGGTGGTTACAGCCAAATCAATACTCCCTGAGCAAAGTTCGAGCTCAGCCCTTAAGTCATTTTTTTTAACAGGGAGTAAGTACAGTATAACAACAATCTCAGCTTGGTCCAGGTAAGATTTCTAGACATTCTAATATCAAAGGATGGATAAAGAGCCAATTGTGACCTCAAATCGGGTTTCATATTTTTGGTTTAGAATTTTCACCAGCTTTTAACGTATTTAATATACTCATAGAACATGAATTGATTTCCATTGCACACATTTGTGTTTCTTTAATTATAAGGAATAGGTACTCACACCCTTTCCACAAAAAATAATGACAATAATTGATTGCACTTTTATTATTTTTTACTGTTATTTCTTAGTAAAAGATCACAATAGTTTCCAACTTCCATCCTGAATTGTTGTGAATCTCTAAACCCAATGAACCACGAAGCTTCTCTGCTGTGGTGTTCAGGGTTAAATTTGATTCCCATTTCTCCCTTTTAAAGCTCTTAATGGTTTAGTCCCAGTGTATGTTTGTGATCTCTTCTCTCCATCGACTCCTCAGCACTCTGGACTGGAATCTTTTCTATTTTCCCATTCTGAAAAAATGACCCACTGCATCCACAAGTCCTAATGATGATGATGATCCACTTACATTGTTGCACAGAGTTCCCTCTGCGCATTTGACACCTCGTAGGAGATTTGAAGCTTTTCCTCTATTTATTGTCCATTTGGTAGGAGATGAGTGCATATCATGTGACACGTTAGCACCATTTTCCATGTTTCTGGTTTGTTCAGAGATGGTTAAATTCTAGACACTGGTGTCTTCCTCTACGTCCATTAAATTCTGGATTGGATAGGTCCTGTTCTCACTCAATACTCACGTTAAGTGATAACTCTAATCACCATAAATCAGCAACAGTGGATCAGTAGAGCTGATTTACCTTCAGATTAAAAGATGCTGCGGCCCGGCTAGCTCTGTCGGTAGAGCACGAGACTCATAATCTCAGGGTAGTGGGTGCGTGTCCCACGTCGGGCACCAGGTCCTCCGGGTTGGAGGTTGGGCACAAGGCTAACAGCCCTGTCCCGTAAAAACAAAATGTTATGATAACAGCAACAGAATGTTGCTGCCCCCAAGTGAAAGGCATAACAGGCAAAATAGGGTACTAAATACTACCCTCCCTTTTCTCCTTTTGAGCCTGGCCTGTCCTGCCATCATACACACGGTGGATTCGCAGCCCAGGGCCCTCAGCGCTGGTGAGAGGAGCCTTGGGGAGGTGCGGCTGATACATTCTCGGCTTAGTGCCAAGGGGCTCCTGCTGCCACTGTCTGCTCTTGTACTTCTGGAGTCCATGGGGGTGGAAGAAGGGGAGTAACTGGGAGTCGGGGAAGTGTTTTCATTCTTGCATTGCAATGTATTTGTTATATCTGATAAAAAAAAATAGTTATTCTGATTAGTGCAAGCTCTTAGTCTAAATCCCTTCTTTCAGTCCAGTCACTCTGGTCAGTGCATGCTGAGAGAGTGAAGTGAACATCATAGCTGAGAACGGTTTTTATTTTTGTCTCGTATAGAAATTAGCTTCTGTACTACTACTCCTGAAGCCCAACATGACAATCAACCAACTACAACCTAAAGGAAGTCGAAAGATTTACTGACTGGGGCTGTTGTAAGCCGCTAGGAGGAAGTAGCCGTTAGCTTTTTCTATTTTGCATGTCTCTGAAGCAACTATATCTTATCACACAGGAATCAAGCATCTGATAAAGTTTTTTCAATTACTGTGGCAACGGAAGAAGAAGCTGCCACTATCAGGAACGTGTCCAGCCACCCTGAGGTAATATACAGTACAACACCCTGCATTCATGCACTTGACCAATGTGAATGTGAATGACCTGATCTGTATGGTTTACCTAACCCTAGAAGTGAGAGAGAAAAAATGCATTAACTACTGTACAGTATGGTGCAAAATGATCTTTTCTTAAATTAAATAGTTTATCAAGTTTAGAAGAGGTGGGATGTGGCCTAAGTCCAAAGCTGACAAGTCAAAATAACCCTTTGCTTCAAGCACGATCTCTGCTTGAAGTGCTGGAACTCCCTGGTTTTATCATTTAAGCAAGCCAACGAGTGTGTACTCTCTACCAAACACTGGGACTGCTCTTCTTGTTGCAGGTGGTATTGTGGCAGCCAGACTCCCCCCAGAACATTAAAGCTGGCACAGAAACACACCTTTACATTCCTGGCTCAAGTGTGGAGAGGATTAAAGAACTGTTGCATCAGAATGGGGTTAAGCACACGTGTGTAAATTCATCGATTGGTTTAGAAATGCTTTTGGTCAGTGTGATGCAGCAGACGTGTTAGAGGAAACTGTGCCTGCTTTCGACTCATTGCTCTTCCTCTCTTGAGCTTTACACATCTCTCAACATGCATTTATCATAAAAAAGGGCTTGGGGAAAGAAAGCTATGCTCCATAATATTCATCAGTGAATTTTGTGCACTTTGTCTATGCCAGACCTGTTACCTTTCAGATAAAATTGATAATGTATGATTGAGATAACATGATCACATCTCTACAAGGTCTGTTAGTTGTATTAAATTGAAATATTCCTGTATGTATAGCTGTGAAATGATGTAGATGTCTTTATTGAAAGTCAAACATTGCTGTAGCTCTCCAGCCACACATGCTTCTCGTGCTTTGTCAGGTCTTACCCGTCTGTGTTGGCTTTTCAGGGTCTTGCTGGAAAATGTCCAGGAGCTGATCGATATGCAGACTAAAAATGATTCAAATGACCCTCGGAGTTCCGTGTCCTTTTATGAGAGGTATCATCCTTTAGATGAGGTAGGAAAGCTTTACTTTACTTCTCTCTCACGTCTGTGCTGAATTAAAATGTGTCTGCTGCTCCCCTTCGTGGAAAACATTTTTGAAAGAAATTTTTGTCTCGATATACTGCTCTCCAATGATCAAATTTTGCATCACGCAGGGTCAGACTATTCAGCTGTTACAGGTTTCCATTTCAAAACTGAACACTGTTATATGTGATGGAAGTTGGATGTCTGCAAAACCTGCAAAGAAAGGTGCACCAGGTTTCATTTACTGATTGCATAAGTATTCAGTCTCCCATCTCGTGTAGGTCAGCCCGTGGTGCTGTGGCACTACGCAGGGTGTGTTCAGTGTGGAGGCGGAGCCCTTGGCTAAGGGTTACGTGTTGTCTTGACCACCTCAGCTGAGGCGGTTCATTTTGGATGAGCCAGAGCTGTGGGTGCCGTTTAAGAAAGCGCTGTCCAGTCTGGACCCCCTGTCACAAGCGGCTCTCTTTTCTAGTCCAGTCTGGACCCCCTGTCACAGGCAGCGATTTTTCTTTGCCCCCTTTTTTTAAAAAAAAAACGTCCAGGCTGACCTCCCGCCAGTGCCTCTGCCCCTGCAAATGGGGCATCGGCTTTTACCAGCGTTTGCCGCAACTCCTTCAAACCCGAACTGCTACAGTACTAGTTGCAATGCTGCTGTCAATATTTTTGCACAGGCCCCTACCAACCTGGTGCAGTGGGACAGCGCAGTTCTGACAAGTTCACTGGGGAGAGTTGATTGACTGCAAGTGTCAAGCCTCACTGTACAGACTCAATTGGATTCGTCGGGAATTTACCTGTATCACTCAAGGACATTCTCTCTCTTCTTCCCAGACCAGAGCACTCTAGTGTGGCTTCGGCTTTGTGCTTCAGGTCCCTGTCCGGCTGAAACCTGAATTCTCCTCTTTTAGATTAGTAGATTTTCCTCTAGGATTCACCTCATCATTACACCATCCATTACTGACTACATTACTACTTACATCTGAGAAGACGCATCTCCTTAACATGATGCTGATCTCATGAATTCTTTCTCTCATATTAACAGAGAACCTCCTCCACAAGTCTGCTCTGTATCTCGTGAGATTTTTCAGTTCTTTTTTTAAGATTAGTAAAGGCCTCTTTTGTGTCAATATCCTGACAAACCAATTGGCAGCTCTTTCAAAGATACTGTTGGCTTCACAGTGGCGTCTCAAACCAAACGCCAGTCTACCAAGTGCTGGGGTGGTGTGATGTTCAATCCACTTCCTCAAGACTGACTTCGCCGAACCATAAAGGACGAGTAAAAATTTGGGGTACACATTTTTCTATGTCTGTAGACCTCTATCTTCTACACGGCGACTGTACTGTTAAATTTGATAAAGACTCAGAGTGTTTATTTTCTATGCTGGTTCATTTTTGCGAAGAAACTTATATTTCTACTATGGTCTGTCTCCAAGGTGCCGACAGTTGAAATGTGGCTTTCTCAGGTGGCTACATTACGTACAAACAGCAATCATTACAGTAATTGTAACCTTTCAAACTGTGCCTTTTCTGGACTAATGTAGGGGTACTGGAACAAAGGAGGATGAATATTTATGTAATTTCAAATCTTTGAGTTTTCTGTAAAAAACGCATTTATTTACATAATATCAGCATTTTGTGGATTTATATTTATCAATATGGGGTAGGTATCAGGTTGTAGTAGATGTAGACAGATAAACTGATGTACTGTATAGATTCAGTACGCAGGTACAGATACAGATTAACATTTCTGACTGCTGCTGTCCAATTCACATTTCCTGAATGCAGCCCCATTAAATTGTGACTTTTTAAGATCTGTATTTTACAGTGATGGTATGCGGAAAGATGTTTTGATAAAAATGTGTGTCTTTTTGTCAGATATACTCTTGGATAAATAAAACGGCTCAAGACAATCCACATCTGGTGAGGACCATACTGATCGGCTCAACATTTGAAAAGCGTCCCCTTTACGTTTTAAAGGTAAAAAATGGTGATTTCTAAAATAAATTAATGTCACTGTATCTGAAATTAAATATATTTTAAATAAGTATTAATAATTACACCATTAAATCTTTTTAATGTTTTCCAGAATGTTATGTAATAATAAACAATTTCCTACTAGTAATATATGTATTTTCTCTCTTATTCTTCAATGCTATTTGTTCTTTATTATTAATTTGTAGAACTATACTTCTCTGAGGGTATTATGTTACAGGTTACATTTTCATTGAGGTTTAAACTACAACTTCCCCCCACTGGAGCTCAGCAGGTGTGAGCCTGGTCAGTACCTGGAGGGGAGACTCCTGGGAAAAAACTAAGGCTGTTGCTGGAAGAGGTGTTAGTGGGGCCAGCAGGGGGTGCTCACCCTGCGGTCTGTGAGGGTCCTAATGCCCCAGTATAGTAATGGCACTGTACTGTAAAAAGGCCCATCCTTCGGGTGGGATGTAAAACCAAGATCCAAGTCATTAAAAATCCCAGGGTGTTTCTCGAAAAGAGTAGAGGTGTTACCCCGGTATCCTGGCCACATTTCCCCCTGGCCTTTACCAATCATGGCCTCCTAATAATCCCCATCTCTGAACTGGCTTCATCACTCTGCTCTCCTCCCCACTGAGAGCTGGTGTGTGGGGAGCGGACTGGCGCATCATCCAGGTGGGGCTGCACACTGGTGGGGGTGGAGGGGATCTGTATGTGTAAGGAATTAATTTAATAGTTTAGGTGTAAGTCAGAAATAGTTCAGGTGGGGAGCTGCGTCAGCATGTGTAGGCTGCAAAGGAACAAGTAATAGGTTTATTCCACGCTGAAAAAAAAGAAGAAAGAGAACACAACATTTCGGCCGTGGAGCCTTCTTCAGGTGACAGCTCCACGGCCGAAACGTTGTGTTCTCTTTCTTCTTTTTTTCAGCATGGAATAAACCTATTACTTGTAAATCAGAAATGCCCATACAACAGTGCCAGCTTTGTCGTCAGGCTAATTTCACAGTATGGGTAGAAAGTAATGAGCACTCCAGGTCTTTCCAGCGGGATTAAGTTCAGTGAAACTGATAGTGTCGCTTGTTCATGCATTTATGAAACTGCGAATTCTCAGCTGTCAGGAAGAAACCCCTCGAGAGCAATGTGGATGGACTGTGGGATCCATGCCAGGGAGTGGATCTCTCCTGCCTTCTGTCTGTGGTTTGTTCAGTATGTGAGTACACAGCGTTCCTGCGACGTCACTTCGGACATTTACTCAAGAGATCAGCTCCTGCACGAAACTGCATTTTAAGCACAGCATCAACATTGAGTTGAGAGTTTATGAGGACAGGTGTCTAATTAAGAAAAATAAATATTTTTATGAAAAAATAGGAATAGTGGACCAAACAGTTAGAATGCAACGTGACTGCATTACGTATGGGCAGTTGGGCTTTAAAAAAACAGTTAGGGAGATAGAAGATTTAAGCAGTCTTCTTCAAAACCAAGACATTTTGAATTTTGATCAAGGTATGTATTATAAACGTGAAATCAAAAAACATATTGTACATCTAGAATGAAATACATGCCTATTCAGTATATTTTTGAGCTCCTCCAACATTTCAGTTTTCAAACACAAGAGCTGTGAAAGAGTTGTCTGGTTTTATACCCTGTTTGAGGTCCTTCTTCAGTCCCACTGTTAATATTTTCTATACACAGCGCAGTACAGGAGCATCACAGCAAATAAAAGTACTTGTATTTTTACCCTTTTAATATTTACTATTTAGAAGGAATTTAAATGTGACTAATAACATTTTTAATTATTTAATGTCTTTCCTTTCTCTTTATGCATAGGTCATTCAGTTTTATAATACAAATCCTGAGATTACCCAAATTCTTGACAACATGGATATCTATATTCTTCCAGTGCTGAACCCTGATGGGTATTTGTTCACTTGGACAAATGTGAGTGTTTCTCAGTCCAGACATTATACTAATACAAATCATAACAAAGGGCTAACCGACACATATTCCGAAGACTATATTTCTTAACTATGACAAAAGGATTCATACAGCACATTTTGACATTTCATACTGATATTAATGTTTCATTATCAATATGATTTTTTTCTGTTTTTCTCCACTACATTTAACAATACAACATTTTATTTATTTATTATTCATTCTTTCTTAAATGAATGACAGACAAATAACTCAATTTGATTTTGCGCTCAGATCGTATGCCTTTTTATCAAGTCATTTGGATGACAAAGTAGAATTCAAATGTGAAAAACTGCAATGACTCCAGTGCTGAAGGCCTCCAGTGACTCCAGTGGTAAAGGCCAATGGGACCAAATTTCCCATTGGCCTTTACCAATCATGGCCTCCTAATAACCCCACTCTGTGAACTGGCTTCATCACTCTGCTCTCCTCCCCACTGAGAGCTGGTGTGTGGGGAGCGGACTGGTGCATCATCCAGGTGGGGCTGCACACTGGTGGTGGTGGAGGGGATCCCCATGACCTGTAAAGCACTTTGTATGGAGTGTCCAGAAAAGCGCTACATAAGTGTAAGCAATTATTATTATTATGATGATGATTATTATTATTGACTAGAATCGAATGTGGAGGAAGAATCGCTCGCAGTACGAAGACAGTGATTGCATAGGGGCTGATCTGAACAGGAACTTTGACGCAAACTGGTGCAGTAAGTAACAAATATGACTTCTTCTGCAGAGTGATCTTACTTCACGTGCGCTCTGAAATAACTAGGTGTGTCTGTGTGTGTCTAGCTTGTCCTTTTCCCATTGTTTCTTGATGTGCTTTTCTGAAAAAAGTGGCCCTCTGCACGGGTGCCGTTACATTTTATAAAATGTTGTCGGGGGTGTGACAGGGTGTCATAAAATAGGGATATCTAGAGGCAAGCTTAATTAAAACAAACACATAAAGCAGCTGAAAGGTAAAGATGCAGTGCTCTTGCATTTACAGTGCAAGAACAAGTCGTCCAATACTCAAAAACGCAAATAAAAAGCCTCCCTGAGCTTCTCACAGGACTTCTCCAATTCCTCTCTAAAGCAGCTGGGCAGCTAAGCTGCTTGCCAGCTCCAAAGCAAAGTCTCTTTCTCATAAACTTTCACAAGCTCCAGTTGTTGCTTCAGTCTGATGATTTCTGCCCTCTCTCTCTGGTGCGACTTGCATATCAGAAGGTCGGCTCTCCTTCACCAGACAACAGATAAACAATCAAGCCCCACCTTCCTGTTTTTTAAACTGTCACCCAACCAACTGTTTTGCATCAACCACTCAGGTGACCAAGAACAGCAGGCCAGTCACGTAGGGCATTCTGGGTAATGTAGTTCAGACAAGAGTCTCCATCTTTCTGACCCTTCCACCCTCTCACAGTTGCAGTTGGCCAAAGAGGCAGGGTAGGCTGGGGACAAAGAAAAAGTGAAAATGGGAAGTAAACTGTTGTTTTGCTTTCTCAGCAGAGGGATCCTCACCAAGGCCCTGCGATGAGACCTATTGTGGGCCTTTCCCCGAGTCGGAATCAGAGACAAAGGCAGTGGCCACCTTCCTCCGTAGCAAGAAACACATAATGAAGCTCTATATCTCTATCCACTCCTACTCTCAGATGCTACTCTTCCCCTACTCCTACACCTACAAGCAGGCAGACAACCACAACGAACTGGTAGGTCATTTAGAGTCGCATCAACAGAGGCTTTTTTAAAAAAAGGATGTTTATAGGATTGAAGCTCAGTTTCATGACAATCCCAGTAAATTTGTATTTTAAGCTTGCTTTGGAAATGTGTTGCACCATTTTGTCTCACACGCACAATTCTGTTTTGTCACAGCAGATTCTTCACTTACAAAATAATAATAATAATGAATTTATTTTATAAAGTGCCTTTAGAGGTGGCACCTCAAAGCACTTTACAGAATGCCAGCAACAATAAAAAAATACACAAGATATGCACAACGAGAGGTGGCAGTAAATTGTGGTACTGAATACAGTAGGAGCAGAGGAGTAAAGAACAGAACTAGTTAAGTAAAGAAATGCCTAACAGAAAAATGTGAAACCCTAAATGAGAATGTCATAAATTAGTCACTTTGTTCGAATACAGAACACAAATTTATAAACTGACTCTTCCTTTCAGTTTACTCTGGCAAGAGAGGCAGCCTTGAAAATCAAAAGGCATTATGGGAACCACTACAGATATGGCGCTGGAGCAAAAACAATCTGTAAGTGGATGTGCTGTCTTAGATTTTTTGTAAAAGGTTTCCCTTTACCTCCAGGAACCTCCACTACCTCTTGTGTTGCAACTGAAGTTCTTGTGCAAAATGTTCCTGTAAGTTCTTTCCTTCCAGACGTCCTTGGACTCAAATCTAGCATGGATCATGAGTCAAAGGTGCATGTTTCTACCAAAGGATTTTAATTCCCAAGATAGAAAATCACCACATGACATTACCCATGTTGGGTATCCTGGTAAAAAGTCAGGAGATGACAGTTCAGTCTTTGTCATGTGTGGAGTGAATCACCCTCTCCATCACAAGTGGGCCCACTGACACAAGATAAGAGAGAGAGTGTAGAAACCACTACCTGAGCTGTGATAGCCATGCACAGATAATGAAGCCAAATCAGCCAATTGGTACGGCCAGCTCACAGAATTGACTCAATCCGTTATCTTTCATGCTCTCTGTAACGATCATATGCAGGGTGCAAAATTCTTAGACAGGAGCCGAGTGAATCCTGGTTGACAGGACAATCCTGAGATGATCCTGTTCTTTAATGGGACAGAAAAAGTCCTTGAATGTTAGGCAGTGACTGCATTCCTCAAGAAGCTGCTTTGAGAAAAATGTGCGATCAGCCTCATCCAAGAGTCATGCGGTATTGAGAATGCTGTTCGTTCTGTCTTTTATTTCAAATTAGATCTTGCACCAGGCGGGTCTGACGACTGGGCGTATGACATAGGGATCGATTACTCCTTCACTTTTGAGCTCCGGGACAGGGGCCAGTACGGGTTTCTGCTCCCACCCAGTTACATAGCGGTCGCCTGCAATGAAGCCCTCACAGCCGTGAAGTCCATCGCCACGGGTATCGTCAAGAAAATGGGATGAGCTCTAGTCATCACCGGGAGCTCTCAGAGACAGGACCGGAGCCTTCTCTCTGACCACGACAGAACTGCACCGTACTTTAAAATCATGCCACCAAGTCCCTACATTAACAGCAAGACCAACTCTTTATGAGCAGGGTGATTTCTGTTTTTAGAAAGGGTAACATCAAATATTTCATAAAACATACCCATCTATATAAATCTATAGTGGCAATAAAACAACATATTTAACTTTATTCATCAAAATAAAAAGACCTTTGTTCTTCATTGCATATTGCAGGAGCAGTTGATATTTTTGTGTCATGCAAAAAACTGCAAAATAAAATTGGTAAGTCATGCCTTGTGTAATAACAGCCTTATGTGAACCCTTGAGATCTGAATTTATTGAATGATATTGAATGTCCAAATCATAATTAGCTTTTTGTCTCAATCCTGACTAACCTACCTCACAAAACTCTGTACAAGCAGTGTAGGAAAAATCATATTCAGTACTTTTTATGGTACATACTGTATGAACATGCCAGAAAATTCTTTATTGAGGTTCTAGATGAATAAGCTGTTGTCACTAGAATAGAATAAAAGAGACAGAAGGCATTCCCTGATGGTTGTCTTCATACACTCTATGAGATATCGGGAAAAGACTTGGTCACAATCAGGAGATACAATACATGTTAAAAGAACCAACAATATACAAAGTCCCTTAAAGAATTATCTACTATTCGTATTAGAGAGACAAAACCAAGCTTGTCTTTTAACAATTCACAGTACTGTCAATAAAATGATCACAAAAAAACAGGTCGACTTCACATGGGCAGCCAATATGAAGTGTTGAAATAGGTCATCCATAACATTTACCGAACAAATGCAGTGGACCCATTGTCAGGTGTTCCTTGTCATTAACATCATGTCCATAAAGCTGTATTACAGATCTATCAGATCTATCACTATCCTCGTGCTTCAGGGCACTTAAACTACTTCTGCCCAGGGACACGAAGTTTTGCAAAGCATTGATGATACCTCCTCACACATAACTGAAGAATTTTAGAAACCTGAGCTTGAAAACGCTGATGATCAGTCATGTAGTTTCCATATCGGTTGCATGCCCGCTTGATTCCTTTACACTCACAGCAAAAAGAGCAGGCCAGCAGGGCTTTCTGTTCCTGGTTTAAAAACAGATGGGGGAGAGAAGTGTCTCTGTATCTTTTTTTTTTCTCAGACCCCAACCCATCACAGAGGCATATTCTGTTGATACAGGCTTTCTCAAAGGATACTTTTTGTCCAAAATACAGTAGCTGCATGGGGCTTATCTCTTATCTTATCTTAAGATGTCACAGAGCGGTTTAATGTGACTTTGAAGTCAAAATATTAGAAGTGACTCCCTGACCAGAGAGGCACAATCGTTCTAATTTCTCATTTCTCATTTCTAAAGTTTAGGTATTTCCTTGTCCATAACTCCTAAATAACCTTGTAAACTACCAATAATCTAAACCATCTAGTGTGCAAGAAGGACTATTAATCATGAAGTAAAGATCACAGTAATGAATGCAATAGGGGACATCAGTTATACATCTTACAGCAGAAATAGCTTTAGAGACCATTCTGTGAACAACATGACATGACATAACAACGTGACACTATAATCTGAGATGGGCAGCATGGACTTCTCAAATAGTGTACACCAACTAGAACATGTAAACATTTTGTTTTTCAGTAAACGTAATATAGTGTCGATTTTATTTTCGCTTGTAATTTATTGTTGTTTATTTAAATTCAATAATTATTTTTTCTTATATCCACAACGCACGTCTTCAAGCGCTAAGGAGCATTGGTCACTGTGCTACCGGGAGCTGGGACCAACTAATGTGGATCTGTGGGTTCAGCTAATCCCCCACTGGGCTCATCAACTCAGCCACACAACTGGATTCTCAAAGTTAAAACACTATTCAAACTAAGTATTTATAAACTGTCATTAAGACCAGCTTTATTTAAAACGTTTTGCGTTAATTCCCTTGGGAGCAGTTCAAGTTATTTGTATTGCATAGTACACTGTATTAGACTCAGCGCATACCTTTACGAACTCAGCACAAGAGGCAATCCACAGAAAGCCTGATAATTTCTGGCCAAACCCAGTTTGAAATAATCGCTACTGATGAACAAAGTTTTTAAAGGCAATTGTGTGTTCCTAGTTTGGGTTTCCGATCACTGCATAACTTATCTAAGCTAAAGTTACTTGCTTTACTTATGAGTTGTACTTATTTTTGTTAATTACCTTGTGTAAAAAAAATGTCGAGTAAATTAAAGTAAATGCAATGTTGCATTTCGATCGAACCGATTTGTTAGTTACATGCTGTAGCTGAGCTCTTAATTTAATAATAGGATTAATTTGAATAGTTTTCAATTCTTTAAATGTTTCGGAGGAGATTGTATTAAAACAACTGTGCTTCGACAATCTCCAATTTTCAGTTTGGGGAAAAAAAAACAACCTTATTCGCTCAATTAAACTGGTGGGCAGGAACCGGATTGGTAAATCCTGAAAACATGAACACTGTAGTCACGTCAACCATTTTGGACTCCTAATACACCCAGTTTCCCACAATGCCCTGCGCCCCGCCCGGGCAGTATGGGATAGTGGAGGAGCTGTTGTTACGGGAGAAATGAAGAGGAGCTGGGAGCTAGGAGCGCTTGAAATGCAAGGCAATAACTCATAATTTCAAGAAATAAGCCCCCTCCCTGTCGCCCCTCCTTTTGAAACAAACAAACACTTTTGATCTGGACAAGGCTCCGGTTAGCATTTTACGGGTAATTGCGATTGTTTTGATTTCTCTTTGCAGTGGTTTGTAGTTAGGAGAAGCAGAGAAAGGCAGGCCGTAGTATAAGCCTTGAGTCCAGTCTGGGAGCATTTTGTGTTCCGTGCCCTTGTGCTGGACTGCAGAATTATTGATTGTCAAGTCTTGGGTTTTACAATACTCTTGTTTCTGTAGCGTAGTATACTTTTCGACATGTGTAGCGAGATCTGTTTGGCCTAATACCGTGTTGCATGTTTATTCACGCCGTGACCACTCGTTTGTGATCAGGCTGGAGTTACTCCACTTCACAAATCGAAGTAATTGATAGTTCGATACCGCCAGTCCTCCCTCTTGCTATGAAAGGCTGGTTAACCGTGATTAAATTGGACGATAACAACAGAGTTTATGGCTTCTTTCACGTTCACGGTCTTTGCACGACGTGCATCTGTCTGTAGAGTCATTGACCGGATGTATTTTTCAGACAAATTAAGAAGTATTTTTTTTTTAGTAGCTGTATTTATAAACGTCTCTGAAGCACTGTCGTTTCCTAGTATAAATGGTAAATGTATAGCAATCACAAAAGAGCGAAGATATTTTTACTGGTGTAAATACACCGGGGAACTTTCACCTAAAGCATTTGTTTTTCTACGTTATTCTAGAACACAGTTAAGTGACCATGTCAGAGTAGCTACACGATTTTAATCCTCTTCTGTAAAAGCTTGGCAGAAACTAAATTTGGGTCTAATGGACCTGAGCCGTAAAAGGAAAGGTTGCCTTGTGCTCGTTAAATCCGGCCGAAACTTTGTGTTTCTTGCAAGCTCTGGTACTTTTTCACCGTGCAAATAACCTTTACTTGTTCCCTATTCAACATTTAATTTGTTAAACACCCTCATCTTAATTTATCTCATCCTGACTATTATTTTTTAATGTATTCTGCTAAGAATATGGGGGCCGGTGACATGTGTTTTTTTTTTTTGACTCTGACTCTTAATTCGTGTCTGTCTGTGTGCCAAAGTTGTAGCCGTACAGAATGTCCAAGATCAGGAGGAAGGTAACAGTGGAGAATTCTAAGACCATATCTGACAGCAGCTCTCGCCGACCCAGTGTGTTCGAGAGACTTGGGCCGAGTACTGGAAGTAATCCTGAAGTATGTATCTCTGAGCAAATTTAAAAAAAAAAAAACTAACAGAAAGTGATTTGCACTTCATGTTGATTTTCTTCAGATGAGCTGCAAAATGTGGTGCAGACGGAACTGGGGAAAATACAGTTTAGATTTGATTGGCAGGGGGACTCAAGTTGTTTTTATTGGCCATCGTAATAAATGATTTTACTGTTGCGTTCATTCGATGCCGCGCTTTTGGCGTGGGGTTAATTTGAAGTGATTGACATGGATAACGACAGGGGAGGGGGAATTGCTCTGGGTGTCTGACGTCGTGCATCTTTCTGATGATGGTTTTCTTTTGTAGACACACTGTCGAAATTGGCTAAAGACCGGCAGCTGTATTTACGGGAATACGTGTCGGTTCACACATGGAACTCAGCCCCGAGGCAAAGTATACAGTGGTACGTACAGAAGGTGAGTGTATCGGGCTTTTGTGATGAATCTGCCACAGCTCAAATATACTATTGGAAACGACTCTTGCTTCTTAATATTTAAAAATTGCGCACTAAAAACAAAAGCCTCAATATTTTTTTGTTCATAGCTAGCACCGTACTTCCTCCCAGAAGCTCCCCGTTATATCTCTGCTTTGTTTATGGTGACTGTTTTTACTTTTGGTCGTAATTCTATTTAAATTCAAAATACTTCATTCACCCCCAAACCCCCCCCCCCCCGCCCCCACCAAGGGGACAATTTAAGTATTTTATCCTAAAAGATGTTTACCATGTAAAGTATTTGTAAACGGAGTTGCTCACTCCGGTGCCCTTTTCCGTCTCGTTTACAAGAGTCAAGCCGATCGATCTGGACAGGGAGCCTGGTTGTTGCAGGTAGGATTTAACCTCTGCCGTTCCCGTGTTGGTGACGCCACTTCTCTCTGACCCTCCAGGTCACCCGAGAGGCCCACTGGAGATCTCCGAGAGAGGATGAAGAACAAACGCCAGGAGGCAGAGCCTGATACTCAGAAAAGAAACCCCGAAGAGCCCGGCTCCCCTGCCGCTCGGGTGAGTTTGTACTCGGGCCGCGTGGATTTTTCTTCTAATGTTGTTTTTTTTTTTAACTACAAAAAACGGGTATATTTGCAGGGCACACACTAGACAAGCACTTGCTCCAAGGCCTCTTTTACCCAAACAGTGAGGCTTCTTATATCACCTTGAAATCAATTTACCGTCCGAGACCCTGGGGAAGTGCTTTTGGATTTTATCACATTAAAAAATACTCATGAAAGTTATAAATACTCATTAAAATAGTCGTGAAAGTTTTCTCATTTTATTCCTTTAAAACACTCTTTTAGACGTCATCTACCTTTCGTCACAATTGTGCAGGAGTTGTGTTAGAACTCGTCTCTGCGGGCCTTCGTTCAGCATGGGTCCGAAGCAAAGGCAAAGTACTGAGTCAGTCTGATCATCTCTGTAGAACAGGAACAACCGGATGCGCGTGTCAAAAAAATGTATCGCCCTTGAAGTTTGTCACAAAGCTGATTTTCGTTCTCTGAACGACGGGCAGAGAGACTCCTCGCGAAGCCGGCACCGGGAGAAGGAAGACATTAAGATAACGAAGGAGCGCACCCCAGAGAGCGAAGACGAGCCGGCGGAGTGGGAGGCCAGTCGGGAAGGTAGAGTGGAACCGCCAGCGTGTTAGTTTAATCACGGAGAGGATAGAATACCCCAAACCCACCCCACCCACCCCCCAGAGGGCAATACTGTCTACGCATCCAGCACATAATCTGTTGGATTCCCGCGCATGAGCTGGAGCAGCTCGTACTCCGCAGACTTGGGACCGCCTTTTGCGCCCTGCTCTGAAACGGGCTTCGTTATTGCTTAATTCCAGATTCTGACAATGGGGACTACGATTATGAATTGTCTCTGGAAATGAAAAGGCAGAAGATTCAGCGAGAGTTAATGAAGCTGGAGCAAGAGAACATGGAGAAAAGAGAAGACATAGTCATCAAAAAGGAGGTATGTGTGTTCTCGGAATTCACTCGTGCGTTCATAATGTTTCCTCTCTTTGAACCTTGTTTTACTATTGAGAAATGTAAATCAGAATCATCTGTTAAACCGTTTGTGCTAATATTTTTCAGTGTTTGTTAAATAGTAAAGTGATACCTCTTAGTTGTAATATGTAATATGTTATATTACATAATTGTAATATAACATAAGACAGTCAAGAAGTCATCTGGTCAAGATGGCCTGTATTGCTAATCCACAGCTCAAAAAAGTGAACCGTGTGTAATAGCTGAGTGGTATTCTAAAGAATCCACTCGTGTTGAGCTACAATTCGGCAAGCATACAATTTAGAGCTGCTCTGAATATTTGTTCCTTTACACACAGGTAGCAATTAAGGTGTTCATGCGTAAACATCGTTTGTTGTACATTGCCTTTGCCAACTTCTTGTGTTTTATGATTGAATTACGGGTTGTGTTTGTTTGAAGAAATCAATTCAAAGTGCTAAAGGGTTGTTAGAGACTGGCCTGTTGTAGATTCACATGAGCAGGCAAAAGAGAAAGATGTGGGCTTTCTGCCAGGGGTTGTTAGACATCATGGGTTGCCAGACTGGTAGATGGTGCAGCCAGATTTCTTTCTTCCACCTTCATCAGCTGATTTCCTGTTGCCAGAATAGACAGTGCTCAAATTCACTGGGCAGAAGTGCCCTTCGTAATGAATACAGGATCTCAGTCAATCTGCAGTTTATGTCGCTGAGAATAAGGCATTACAGCGGCAATATAAAAAGTGATTTGGCCTCTTTGAAACTGGGGAATGATGGGTTTCAATAAATCTGGAGTGCAGACTAAAAGGCAGGGCAGTAGCTGTAAAAATGGAGTTAATATTCAGATTCCAGGCATCTGACTACAGGCATCCCAGTATTTTCAAACATTCATTCATTCAGTCATTCAGCAGTGGACCAAATGAAGTCTGTGAAGTATGAAATGAAGTATTAAGGTGAACAACTACAGGCACCCCTTGATGTAACGTGTAATTGTGGGTGTGTGTAAATGTTATTAAAAAGTAAAGTAATGTAGATTCTACTGAAGAAATGTGTAGACTACCAGAAAAATGACACTATAACATTTTTTAACAGGAACAGAACAACAAGAGCAGGAATAGCAACCTGTCAAAGGTAAGGCTATTTGTCTTCAGGCCTAGTGGTTTCCACCCTCCGCGAACAAGCTGCCTAATTAGGGAGGCCATGTGTGAAACGAGACAAGTCATTTAATGGCTCTTTTGTGTATTTTTAAAGATCTCTCCTGAGCCTATCAGTTCTAAAGGATCTCCTTCATCGAGAAAATCCAGTGGATCACCCAAACACAAAGCCAGCTCTAAAGCTGTCTCCTCCAGCAAGAAGGAGAAAAAGACCCCGGTTGTCTCCTCACCTGTATCGGATCAGGCACGGTCAGTGTTGTACGTTCAAAGAGCTGCTAAAGAGGGGTGATGTTTTTTCATACGTTGTGTTTCGAATTTCAAGTATTCCTCTAATGCTGAGAAGTGAAGGAAATCATTGATATCTGTCCACTTCTTACTGACATCTGTCTTTTACAATTGATTTGACGAATGCAAATGCGATTTTGCACAGAAGCTGTGAAAAGCGCTCGAACGGATCAGTTTTCACGTGTTCCTAGGTCGCCTTTTGTCTTCAGAACGAGGCCGAGCCCAATATCTGGGATGCAGGTGTTTTGATTAATGCGATGTGAGATTCTGCTGCAAAGCTGTAGGAGCAGCGTGCACCATATCAGCATTATGGAAAGGCTGGTGCGACATGTTTGATGGACTCCAGAAAAACTGAGTGTTCACAACCTCTTGCTTTGCAAAGGTTTTATAGTGTGGAATTCATTGACTGTCCTCCTTTGTGTTTAATCAGGAAGAGTATTTCAGGAAGAGTACTGTCATTCTTTGCACAGCAGTGTTAAATATACAGTAGAAGATATTTGTGGAAACGTTTGGTTCTGTCATTGTGGAGGACCCCCCGGCCTGCCAGGGGGTCTCTTAGCAGGTGCTCCAGCAACTCATTCTTGATGCCATTCTAGAGGGTGTTTTGGAGTTTTGAGATCTTCACATCCTTGCGCTGTTTCCTTTCAGATCATCCAAGATCATCCATGGGAAAAAGAAAGGGCCTCGCACCCCGAGCCCTCCTCCTCCAGCCCAGGAGGAGAACCCCGTCAGTAAGAAGCACAAAGGGAAACACAAGACTAAAGAAAAGGTGGAGGAGAAGCCCAAAGAGGCCAAAGATAGGGGCAGGGATGCAGAAAAGCACAAGGAGAAGAAGGAGAAACGTAGGTAAGGAAATGACATACAGAGGCTGTGCAATACGGTCTGACAGCAGCCACGTCACCCTGCAGTTCAAAACTGGCAGCCCACTGAAGATCAACAGCTGTGAGCCTGGCCAGTACTGGATGGGAGACCTCCTGGGAAAGCTAAGGTTGCTGCTGGAAGAGGTGTTAGTGGGGCCAGCAGTTGGTGCTCACCCTGCGGTGTGTGTGGGTCCTAAAGCCCCAGTATAGTGACGGGGACACTATACTGTAAAAAGTCCTTTGGATGAGATGTCAAACTGAGGTCCTGACTCTCTGTGGTCATTAAAAGTCCCAGGGCGTTTCTCGAAAAGAGTAGGGGTGTTACCCTGGCGTCCTGGCCAAATTTCCCATTGGTCTTTATAAATCATGGCCTCCTAATAACCCCCATCTCTGAACTCTGTTCTCCACCCCACTGAGAGCTGAGGTGTGGTGAGCGTTCTGGTGCACTATGGCTGCTGTTGCATCATCCAGGTGGGGCTGCACAGTGGTGGTGGAGGGGATCCCCATTGCCTGCTTTGAGTGGAGTGTCCAGAAAAGCGCTATATGAGTGTATGAAATTATTATATAACAGGAATGTTATAATTACCCCCATAATCTGTGTTCAAGATATTTATGGCCATAATTCCATTATAATGCAGTTAATGGCTGTGATTTAAAGCGTTGCATGAAATGTTAGTCGCAGCGGATGTCTGGTGAGGAGAAACCAGCTGTTGGTTTTGTTCACAGTGCATTGTGGCTTGGTGTCCGTTTTGATGGCTCGGGTGCTGACTGCCGGCTAAGACGCGCCTCTTGTATTTGTGTGCGCAGGGATCGTTCGGAAAGCTCCCACAAGCTGAAGCGGTCCCTCAGCCCCGAGGCCCGCTCGGGCAGCAGCTCCTCGCCCTCCCGGGAGACCTCTCCCTCGGCCAGGAGGAAATCGGCCTCTCCCGGCGTGTCCAGACCTGCAGCTCACAAAGTTCCCCTGTCCCCATCCCACAGGTACTCCAGATCTCCTCTCCCCCCCTCCCCCCGCCCACTCCTGTGCCTCATGCTCGCCTTGCAGGACCGCAGTCTTTCCCCTCCGCCGTGTCTGAAGGGTGTCTTTCTCTCTGGTGTGTTCAGCAGGTCTTCCACGCCGCCTCCGCACCGCCACACCCCGACTCCCCCCCGGCACCACTCGCCCTCTTCCCACTCGGGCTCCTCGGCGCAGAGGCCCTCCCCCTCGCCCCGCCGCCGGCGCTCGGCCTCGCCCTACC